CCCCAGCTCATTAAAGCTTTACTTAAATCCCAAGAGCTAAGCATTCTCATGGCGAATTCCTTGCAACTAATGTAGTGTCTGTTCTTAATATTTTAGTGGCAAGACCTGACGAATTAGACAATGAGAGGTAGGAAACTAATTGAATCCTCTGCTGTTTGGTACTTTGCTGTGATACCATGTAATTATTACCTGCGTGCGCTTGTAATGTTGGCTCCTTTGAGGGAGGAAGGAAGGGGAGAAGGGAGCTACTTAGTGGAGGGAGGATGGAGCCCTGGATTCCGTCAAGCCACTGGGACACATTTTTGACTTGCCCAAGCCATTATATTGTCCTTAATCTTTGCCTCATGCTGACCTCCAATAATGCTTGCTTGAGGGTTGTAAAACTTCCCCTGCCGCTTCCCCCCTGCACCCTTGAGTTAGAGGTGCTGCCTTAACAGCAATTCCTTTTGTACAGGCTTCCAGGAGCAGAAAACAATATTTTTTTGGGAAATAATGAAGTCTTCTGAGACTCTGTAGGGAATGTTTTATAGGCTTGTCCCAGAAGTTGTTACTGCATAGTTATGACCTGACTGCAGCATTAATAATGGCTTGAGAAATGTTGGGGTGTTGTCTTACTAATAACACCTTCCCCTCTCTGGGCCCACCTCTGCCTGCCGGTGCTGCCGAGCTGCACTGGATGCTCAGCTCCCGATTAAATCACTTGAGCTGTTGCCAAATGACAATTTTTTTTTTTTTTTTTGCAAGAGGCCCAAGTACAAAAGGAATTACTCTTCCTAACCTTCGAGTACTTGTGACTAGCAGTTAAGAAGCACTAATAGAACTTGCCAAAGACAATGCCTCCAAAGTAACTGAATATATTAAGTAAGGTACAAGGCTGCTTGTAAACCTCGTGCTGAATTCTTGGGGGTTGCAGTTGACCAAATAAATGCAGAAAAAGCAAATGGATTTGCTTCTGCGCTGCCCTTTCCCTCCGGTAGCGTGGAAACTAGTCTAAGGCAAAAGACTGAATGACGGAAATTACTGCTCCTTAGCTGCTATGGGAGAACTGGGACACTTGTAGGACGGAACGTAGAAGTGCTGCTTTTGGCATGGCGGTGTTTTGAAAGGCAGTCTGACCCTCGTCTCTAGAGCCCAGCAGTTGGGGGAGAAGAGAAGGTAGTACTGAGACAAACGTTTGGAACAAGTGACTTCTGCACTGACGACGATGCAGTAATATCTGTTCCCAAATTCTCCCCTTCACTGCAGCTGGGGATACGTTCACCCTCGGCTGCTCGGAGTGCCAGAACTCTGTCACCATTTGGCTGAAGGATGGGTGACTGGGACCAACTTCTTAAGTAATCTCTTCATTTTCAAGAGGCAAAACCCTGGAAAGGTAAGAATGTACAGACCTCAGCAAATAAAATGTTTGGTGTGGAGCCTCTGCTGACCGCTAGCATCCCTTTGTGGTGGCGTCCAGCGTTGGCTGAACGCGTTCAGACACGGGAGGTTACCACGGGAGGTCTCCCACAACAACGTGGAGTGGAATAGAGAGCACAGGCAGAATAATCAGGTTGTGGAGGAGGGAGGAGAAAGCGAGTGTCGGCATGTTGATTGCACTAGTGAAGTGAAAATGTAGCTGCTCCTTCTGGAGGTTTCTAGCTTTTTAAAGTGTCTGTCAAACTCATCTCCCTCGCTGGATTGTAACAGTTTGAGAAAGTGCGTCAAGCTTTTTTTCCTTTCCCCCTTTTTCTTCTTTTTTTGAGGCTTATGCAAAGAGGAACCTGTAACACGGTGGTACTGTCCTTGTCCTTTTCACTTCGAAGAGTTCTGTCTTTAGCCTCTTCCTTGCTTTTAGCATACCTGCTTTGGGAAGCTCCTCGTATTCTGAGGCAGAGGCCCTGGTATGCTGCCTGTCGCTCTGAAGCCAGACACCTCCTGTGTGTGCGCTAGTCCTAGGGCGGGGGAGCTGAACGCTAGGAAGGCTTCACTGTTGTTAGAATTCTGACTTGGGCTAGAATCTGCGGAGAACAAGATGGTCAAGAACTGATTGAATCCACTGCTTAACCTTGGAAACTCACTGTCTCCCGTGTCTCCAGTTTTGCCTTCTAGTGTGTGGAGTCTTTACCTTCCTGGCTGTCCTGGGCCGGTATATCCCTGGACTCTTGCTCTCATACCTGCTGTGTAAGTAGATCTCTGTGGCAATACAGACTTACAGGTGAAAACGGGTAGAGATGAGTGGGATCTGAATGTCTGAGGGATGGGGCTCTTCTGCTCAAAAGGAAAGCTTGTGTGAATGGCTTTAAAACTTAAAATAGTACATACTGCCTGCAATGTGGTGGTTCTTGACCAGGACTCTAAGGTCTCTGGTCCAGAGAGAACATGTTTGAGTGCTTAGTAACTACAGATCTGAGCATTAATAGGTTGGCCTCTCAGTTTTGTGGAATTGGCAGAGGTGATTGCACCAATTCTAACTGCCTCCCGCAGCATTGCCTTCGGTACTCAGATCTTGCATACCGTGTGTGTTCTACTGCATCACAAAATGGGCAAGATGTTTGCCAAGCAGCATCCTGAACAAACTTCTAATCAGCATTCCCACTTACCTCAGTGCTCTTCATCCTGCTGTGGCCCCTTGCTGTGTACCACAGACTGGGGCAGCGCATGTACATGAAGCTGGAGCCAGCTCTGCAGCGGCTGGATTTCAGCGTTCGAGGCTACATGATATCAAAGCAGCGGGAGAAGCAACGTAAGTTTCTGTGCCGTGTTTCTGACCCTTGGTACCTGAAGCAGCCTGTGAACGGAGCCCCTGGCCGTGGAGCGGGACGGGGCTGCGTGTGTGGCATGGCAGTCGCTCCACGCCCTCGGCAAATACTTGCAGCCGCTTTGGGAAGGAAGCGAGGCAGCTCTGCCTCCGCAGGCGTCTCCCAGTTAGCAGTTGGCGTAAGCTCTTCACGGTGCCGAGCCACTCTGTTTCTCAGCTGCCAGAACTGTGTGTTCCATATTGCAGTTGCACTGAAAAAAAAGAGGAAGGACTCAGTGCAAGGTAGCTGCTAAACACGTTCATCTCGGCAAAAGATCTGCAGCAGCCCAAGTCAGAAATGATCACGTTGCTCTGCTGTGGAACAAAGCATGCTGTGTTATGTTATGTCCAGGCTTGCCAGTTTAGGGTTTTTCTGCTGGGCATAAGGCTGGTCCTGCACAGACCCCTGTCCTAGCAGCAATAATAAGCTTTGACTCTGGTTTCTGGCAGTGCGACGCCGATCCCTTAATCAGGAGGCTGTGGATGACGGGAGTGACAGCGAAGAGGAGCTTGCTGCGTTCTGCCCCAAGGTAATGATGTGTCTCTGAAATAGAAGAGCTCAGCCCAACAGAACAAACTCGCTGCATTGCGTGGCCACGCAGCGCGTGGCCCTGAATCCAGCACGTTGTAGCTGAGTTGTGATGGAAAATCAGATGAGGATATTCTCCTTTTAGAGAGGTCCTTCCTATTCTGCCTCACTCGAGTACGTCCAGCGCTGCTTGTACCAGCTACAGTCTCCCAGGCTGGGCAGCAATGTGTGAAATGAGCCCCAGATACCAGCCTCCCATGAGGACTGGGTTTAACTGGTGGCCACTGGGTCGTGTGTTTTGTCTTGAGGCACAGGAATAAGCTTTCCAGCATTGATGTTTTCGATTTTATCTCCTGTTTCACAGCTGGATGACTCTGTGGTCGCCAAGGAACTAACCATCTCTGACTCGGAGCATTCGGATGCTGAGGTTTCCTACACTGAAAATGGGATCTTTAACCTTTCCAGGGGCCAGACTCCCCTGACAGAGGGATCGGAAGGTGAGAGGAACGGGGCAGTTTCTGGAGGGCGTGGGATGCTGAGCAGGCGCCGTGCGACGGCTGGGAGGGAGGATGCACTCATTGCCTTCTGACCTCGAGGTCTAGCTGTTTGATGTCTGTCTTGCTGGCTAAGATGAGATGCAACTGCCTGTTTTTTTCAAAACTGAGCTTCCTTAACTCCTGTGGTGCTTTAGTAGAGCACTGACAGCTGCTTTTCAAAGGCAGATCCAGCTCTGCCAGTCTCTGGCTGTAGGGATACAGGTTGCAGTGCAAGGGCTGGGAGGGGGAGCGTTCCTCTGGCAGAAGGTGTCTGCTTCAGCATCCGCCTGCCTTGCGGTGAACTGGGAGGTCGGCAGGCGTCGGAACGGCTGTGTGAGGGGGAGATTAAAGAGCGTTTGGTCTGTGAGATGACAAGAGACAGTCTGTCTGGGGGAGGTAATGGCCCAGCTTTTGCGTGCTGCGCTGCCCTTGCCTGCAGGGCGTTTGGCGTGCACCCGTGTGTTCAAAGCACTTTCTCCTCTTCTAGACCTGGACGGTCACAGCGACCCAGAAGAATCTTTTGCCAGGGATCTCCCCGACTTCCCTTCCATAAACCCCGAAGCAACTGGCATAGATGATGAAGACGACACCAGCATTGGGATCCCAAGTCTGGCTTACCGCCCACAAGTAACAGAAGATCTGCATCTCCCTTACGACCAGGAAGAATCCAGCGCGCTGCCATCTGTACAGAATCTTACTAACAACATAGCCGGATTTGTCACCAGAGGGATGATACAGCTTGCGCTGTCGGGAGCCCCTCAGCCCGGCTCCTCGCGCAGCGACAATCCCCAGAGAGCTGCAAAGACTTACCTGAGAACAGCCAGCTCGGACTTGGACACTGATGCGGAAGGGGATGACTTTGAACTGCTGGATCAGTCCGAGCTGAACCAGCTGGATCCTGCTGGCTCGCGGGGCCAGTAAGCAATCCTACCGTTTCCCTCTGGTTTTCTATTGCGCATCCTGGAGGGGAATCCTGGAAGGAAAAGCCTTGCACAGTTATCTAGATCGTCTCCTGTGTGAGTATGAGTGACGTGACAGCCAGTCCTGGCTAGGAACACCACTGTGACTTGTGACTCTGTAGCCTCGCTTGGACTTTAAAATAAACTACACTGGTAATTCATAGGGAAAAGACGTTGACGTGATAGCTCCACAATCGCCCATGCGTTGCCCTGCACTGTCTGCCAGGGTGCTGCTTGCTCCAAACTTCCTCACCTAAGACAATAAATCCGGCGTCCGCAGCGCTCGAGACCGCCGGTCAGACCGCCTCAGCATTGCCAAGGACAATCTTGAAGCCGACCTGCGGGGGCTGATGCGTGACCAGGAGAGCGGGATTGGTTTCCCCCAGACTCAGGGCCTGGGACTTGATGCCATTCTGTCTTCAAGACAACCGCTCCCCGCTCCTAAAATGTGCACAGAATCCAAGTCTTCTTTCCCAGCAATATCCAGCTCCGGGTAGGAACAAACCCCTTGCTCCTCTTGTGGACGCGACGGTGTACGGCCACAACGTTTGTACTTGCGACGACCACTCGTCTCCGTTTCCAGCTTTCTAGTGATGCTATTTTGTAAGAGACGTGACGGCAATAAGACACCTACTGTGATGACTAGAGTCCTGCAAAGAACATCTACGTGTGGCAGCTGCTCTTGTGTTGCTTTCCTAAAATACCGGACTAACGCTTTGCTAACCCGGCCGTGCTCCTGCGGTGGGCGGGGGCGGTGGCAAGGCCGCGCTGCCCCTGACGCTGCCTCCTGGGGACGGGGTCTCGGGAGGAGGTGGACCTGGTCGGCCCGGCCGGCTCCCTTCTGGCCTGGGCACGGCCCGCCGCCGCCCAGCCT